GGAAGACCATTCTGCACATATTAAAAACTATTAAACAATGGCAAATCAATTGATATATGATAATTGGCAAAAGAGTGTATTGTGTACTTTTAAATCCTTATTGAAGTTGTCAAAAATAGTGGTTTTAAATAGTATTCTTCTTACTTTTATTTTGAAACGATGCAAAGGTGAAACTTACGCTTCCGCATTATCCCATAAATATTATAAATGCGAAAGTTTGGATGAATGTTTGTAACTTAATTACGCCAGAACGGCTGAACGGATTTAGATGAAATTTGGCACAGAGATAGATAGATTAGTCTGGAATAGCACATAGGTTACTTTTTATTCCGAAAAATTGTACGGTTCCTGTGAGATAGATTTTTGTTTTTCACAGACAAAGTAAGCAACTATCTGTTTCATACTAACCGTTAAAACGTACCTAAGGACGATCCCCAAGCGAAGCAAGAGTGAGTCGCTAGTACGGTTCAATATCCATTACCCAACAGTTACCATTGTTTGATGGTTGCCAAGGAAAGTAAGTAATCTATGTAAATAAAAATGAAATTTCGGGAAAAGCTTATCGTTTTATATAAGAAACTAGCAGTACCTACGGCTTCAGCCACGCTTGAACTTTCGATTGCTACCAAAATTCACAAGATCACCTAGGCTAATCTGAAGATTGCTTGAAAACTTCATCAAAATCGCTCCAGCCATTTTGGGAGTCCATAGCGATCTACATCTATTTTATATATATACATAGATTGTATTTTCCTTCACAACTCACAACTAGGAAGATAAACAAAAAGGTTTTACATGCCATAAATAAAACTCACGTTTATTTAAATGTATTTAAGTGTATTAGCAACGTTGGTACATGAGATTACTGGATAATACTGTCGTGGAATATCATTTGTCCGAGTAAGTACAAAACGTATATACCAATAAAAACGTGCGCGCCCTAATTCTTACAAACTCCATTTACGCCTATTACATCTATAAATTCAATAACTGATTAATTTCAATACGTTTAGGACACTACGGTTAATATATAAAACGTGAGCATTCATACAGATAGGATTTTTTTAAACGTTCGATTAATACAAGACTTTAATCATCTCAAACATCAACACTCCATACGTTTTCTTTCACTCGTTCACAAAACTTATTATGCAATATCGTTTCGCTAGATAATTTTAACTATAATTATATACTATAAAAATTCTCTAACAATGTCTAACACCCAAATACTAACACAAAATAATAAATGAATAAAAAAAGCCTTACACTGTCAATATGGAATCTTTTAGAAGTCTTAGTAAAACCTTCGAAAACCTTAATACAAGTCGAGTCTCCTTCAAACAAATCCTTACGTCAGAAAATGCAGTCAATCGATTTAAAAAACCTATATTAAACATATCTAGGCCCTTATTATAATGTCACAAATAAAAAAAAACAATAAGAAAGGAAAAAGAAAAAAAACGAAACAAAATTTAAAAAATCATTCTTTAATTTTTTTGTCTATAATATATTTTTTATGCAAGAGAATAATCTATTAAAATCTACATACAACATGACGTAAGAAACTATTTTACTAATAACGTCGCAACGACAAATGAAGAAATGAAATTAAATAAAATTTGAATAAATTTTTTTAAATAAAAAATATAAATAATCGAGTATTACTGTTCCAACAACTCTATATAGACTGTGGTTGACCACAGATTATATAATATAATATTTAAATTGTGGTGTAACTCTAAGATCGTGAAGTTATGACTTATCCTAATTTAATCTTCAAGAGATCTTGTTATTTGTTGCATAAAATTTGGTCAATAATTTTCTTTTAAAAAAATATAAAAATGCAATGCTAAAAATACATTTTACGAGGTTTTATATACCATAAGTACTTATTTTCTGTTACAGCCATAAACAATTGACGAAAAATACTGCATTTTCGTCAAAATAATACAATAAAGAGTATAATATGCCATAACTTCCTCTTAATAGCCCATACAATAGGGCTATAAATTAAATTTCTTAAATATTTTGGTATTGACCAAATCAAATGCCGCATATGGAATAAGACAATCGATTTACATCCCAGCAAAGAAATTATCTATACAACAATACTTATAAAGTGGTACATATAAAATTTGACATTACTATATTAATAAAGATATTCATTTAAAACAATATCTCTAATAATGCCTACATTTGCCTAATACACTCACAATCGGAACGATAAATAAAAATAAAACACGATTAAATAAAAGAAAAATGTCTTAAGCCTATGCCGAAATGTTTGAAATTCGCTTCATAGAAGCGAGGTCGTTCTGGCAAGCAATATTGTATTGAAAAACTGTTGTACAATCGCTTATATGTTTATAATAAAATATCATACAAAACTTACATACACTTGACCCATAGACATTTGACATGTACCACGCAATGTGCCATAAACAAAAAATATATGAATAAAAAAAGTTTCGTTTTTATTCACATTGCGCAGTGCATACTCTATGGTACATAAAACATAATGCACTGAATGAGGGTAGTTTTGTACCAGGTTACTCAGTCAACCGTCGTCGGACGTTTGGAAATTGTGCATAAAATACATCGAAAGAGAACATCACAAAACCTTACCTATTAAAATACAATACATGTCGATTACATGAAATAAATAGCTACACTATAATTAAATTCAAAACGGAGGGAAATCATCTAATGAATGTCCTAAACTAAAGCTGTCGAATTAAATCAGTTTTCGAGAGATCAATATCGCTTTGGGGGCGAAATTTTAAACTATTATGTACTTTGTTATTGATAGATAACTCGATTTTAAATGATTACTACACATCGATTAACTTTATAATCGATACAATAAACGAATATTTATTATTCGCAATCGATTATTTTAATTTAATAACCTTATGATCTTTAACATCTTGCTTTCTCTTTCGAGAAGAAAATTGTCAGCCATATTTATAAAGTTTTGGCCACATTTGGCCTATTTTATTTTATTTACTTGATATTCCAAGAATAAATACTATTCCTAAATTATATTTACGGAAGGGTATACAAAAAAACATACAAAAAATTTACTATAAAAATAATTTACATAATTACGGTTATGATTATTTTTGATTAAGCACATGTTAATATGTTTGAACATAATTTAAATTTTCCAAATATTGTTTTCATATTACGTACAATAAGCAATGGATGTATTCTTAAAAATTAATTCATTTAAACAGACTAATATATGTCATTTAATTAAAAATAAAATAATACCTTTTCATACTTCATAACAATAATTAATAAAATTATTGAATAAAATATCATAAATTGCCTTGTTCTTTACAATAACTAATACAAAAACATATCAATATATTACAGTCTGTCAAAATTAATTTATTTCAGAATACAATTTGCAAAACAAAAATATTCACAAAGTAAAATGTATAATAAACTTTGATGCATCAGAAACACATATTTTGCCGACCGTACACAAAATTTTATCTATTACGACACACGCGTATCTACCAACTGAATTTTAAAGCTTAAATAGACATTCCAATAATGCTTAACGCTATATATAAGACGGATATTCCTTAAATATATATAAAGGACAATAGACACCTATATTACATTCGAAGGTCATGGAATGAATACAAAATATTATAAAAACTTCATAGTAGCTAACCCTCGCGACGCGATACCATTGGGCTAAATCTCCTACTTAATATTGTAAAGTATAAACATTCAAATCCTGAATATTATAGATGTCACCAGATAATATATATAGTGGTTAACATATTGACAATTCAATCTTTTATTCCATTTAGTTTTTAAAGTACAGCCAGAAAAAAAATGATCGTTACAATTTAAAATATTGATTGTATTTTAGATATTTTAAATGCTGAGCTTTAAATAAATCAGTCTAAGATAACATTTTTTCGCTGACTGTACTTATAAATGTATATCAATATCCGTGACAATGTCAATGAGCCTCAATTTATTATAAAAAGTTTGAATACACAACACCTACGGGAATCCCCTTTTTTAGATACATTAATAATACAATGGCACGACTATATACAGGGGAATTGACTTGATCGTATCAAATAAATCGATATAATACGAAATCGATTCAAATATTTAGCAATCGATTTTTCTATACTTACGGTTGCCAAGTATAGAATATATTTTTGTCTTCTAAATGCTATAATTATAACAATTAAATTGAAATGCAGATTTATTGTACTGTTATTTGTTAGTAGTAGTATCACTACAAAAAATTAAGTTTTGTAACACACGGTCGTTATTAAATTCAGTCCATTTTAAAGAAAGATCTGGAGTTTAACTTTAAATGCATCTGAAACATAAACATTAAAAAGAAAAAATCACTGGTTATTGATTCAAAGTGGATTTTCTATTTAAATAAGAATATTTTGAACAATTCTATCTGAATAATGATTGTAGGTGCTTAATACAGAGTACATTTTGAAAACATAATAAATCCTGAAAAAACAATAAATATGTACTAACATCAATACTTAACACAAGTCATGGCCGCCGTAAATATTTTGTAATAGCCAATAAAATATCTAAAAAATCACATTTCCATCCAATAGTTGTCGACAAAATAAAAAGCTGGAAGAAATCGAAAATTTTCAAATGGAAAACCGACTCCAAGATATATTTATCTATAATGTAGAAAAGCGAACGATCTCACAATAGCTATGATTGTCGAGCTTAACGTTAAATAACATTTAACTTTAAAATTACTAATTGGTCGGAAAATAAATAAACTTTTGATAGCAAGCAAAACCGGTAGATATAAACTACTTTTCTAATAGAATGTAGTAATCAAATATTAAATTAATGTATGTAACAATGGATATACAGTTTCAACGGTATGGATCTAGTCAATTTTATACAGGTTGTTTAAGAAAAATGAACACTTTTATGAAATATGGTTGACGTAAAAAAAGGAAATGTTTCTTTGTAATTATCTAGCGGCTGCTTGGGGGCGGCATTTGCGCTTGGACCCCTTGAAGGTTCATGGGTCTACCGTTGGGATTCCCCATACCGAGTCCGTCCGCATAATTCACGTCCATTGCTGGCATATCATCGCTCTGAAAAAAAATATCTCTTGTAATGGATGATTATTATGACAAAAGGCGACAAATGCGTCATTTAAAAAAAAACATATAATTTTATACATTTATATACGACATATTAGTTGCATTTTATGGGTTTAGAGTGTTTCAATTATTATTTTAGTAAAAAGTATTAATGTGCCGTAATAATTATTATTTTAGTAAAAAGTATTAATGTGCCGTAATGATTATGATAAACATTAGTACCTATATATTTATTCATATATGATATATACATATGTATCGGGACATATACACAAACAACATATATCACAACGTTGAAATAAACAATACAATATACAAAGCACGCATAGCTTTGACATGTAAGAACCCAACCATTTAAAAAACAGTAATAGATAATTTACTTCGCCATACTTATTAGAGATATCGGTGAAGTAAGTTTAGCCCAATTTGTACAAAGACACGACAATATTTTTTTATATTATCGAATATTTATTTTGAATAGAGAAAAATATTAAAAATTGAAATAACAAAATTAAATCATAAGAATTGGGCATAGAAGAATAGGGAAAGCGGGAATAGGGAGAGGAGGATACAGGTTATTCCTCACCTCGCGATGCCGCCGTATAGTCCTGTCCTCGTAGCGAGTGCCGCCAGTGGAGGCCATGGGGCGGCTGAGCGTGCTGTTGGCGGCGCCCGGCGAGTGGGGCGCGCCCGACATCGGCGTACCCTGACCTACACCCGCACCACCATGTTTATGTTTGTTTGTTTCTTTGTTTGTGTGTATGTACAGTGCTTTGTGCTCTTACGCTTATCATGTTATGGGTATTCAGATTGAGTACGATACCGTTCTTAAGGAAGGCTTTTAAAATAAAACGTTTAAAATTATTATCGTGTTATTGTCAATAATTGACGATGAATATGTATATATTTTTAATATTATATTTCATGTAATGACTAATGACATACTTTTAGCATCATCTTTGGTAATTATTTTGTAGATCATAAACTAAAAGATAATAATTTAATAGATTATATCTTTTAGTACGTCTTTACAGTTAAGTATAGACAGAAACCCAATCTGAACCAGAAGGAAGAGTTAGAATAATAAATTGCAATGGCGGAGTTATTGTGCTTATTGTATCAGCGTAAGGGACAAGCCACGTGAGAGTCACAAGCATACGGCAACAATGCATTATATGAACAATGATAATACAATATGTACATACACAATCAATCAGACAAAACCTTGACCATTCACTAACATAAATACAATTTTATTTTATTATATACACACTTATCATTGATTTGAATGGCCAGACTTCACCAGATTTGAACAGACCAATGACACACAGACAAAATAATAGACACAATATTTACATAAATGTAGCGTTTTGTTACAACTTGCGTGTGCTACTTTTCAAAATCACATTACGCGTCTGTACAAAATTCCCAAACTTTTATAGTTACAAAATTCAAAATACTTTGGACGGATCCCATTCCAACTACTAACCACGGTGTGTTAGTTTTCTTTTGAGCCCGACACGCTTGATATTATTAGCTTGAGCTGGATAAAACCGGTTTTTTCAACAGATAGCGCGTACGTAAAAACCTGAGTTGTTACGCACGCGTAGTTTCTATCATAACACGGTTGTATGAAGTTTTATCTCTGGGTACTTACTCATGTGTACGCTCACTTGTCGACACACACGCACTCATACACATCCACCAGCTATATATACACCCGTACCGTTAGTCTTCGAGGGAGTGAGAATCAGAAGGGCGCGTCCTCAATCGAGCTCTAACCTCAACCGAAATGCCTTTATGATCCTCACTCCTCCGAAATCACCAGTTCTGTCCCGGGTGACTCCACAAAGCGATTTTTATGATGAGCCTTAAACTCGCACCTTAGGTAACGGTATAAACCTTAATAAACCAACAGAACTACTCAATTTTGACATTTTCACGTTTGACTCAGTGTCGGCAGTCTCGGGTTCGAGTTCCGCTAAGGGTATTCATTTGTGTGATTAGCACGAATGTTTGTACGCCAGCCATGGGTGTTTATATATTTATAATATGTATGTATTTAAAGTTATATGTATGTGTATCAACATTCAACTACATATCTGGTATCCATAACACAAGCCTCGTAGCTTACCATGGAACTATGATGTGTGTTAATGTTCAAACATGTTTATTTATTTAAGAAAAAAATCAAGTCACCGCTAGTGTTGGAGGAGGCGCGTGGCTGCGCGGCGCGCGCCGGGGTCAGGAAGTCCGCCTCACGCCAGCCGTGCTTGCGGTACACCTCGCGCAGTTCCGCGTGCGACCACATCGTCATTAGCACTTGGGCTGGGGGGGTTAATGTTGTTGTATTATAATTTGGTTCGTCCCTAGGTACGTTTTAATTTTTTGAGCCGAACCCTAATTCTTTTTCTAAAATAAAAGTAGCCTATGTTACACCCTATAACATCAGCTATCTTCCAGTGAAAATTCCGTCAAAATTAATCCAGCCGTTTCAGAGATTATCCGGAACAAACAGACAAAAATTTAAAAAATTATGTTTTTCTTATAGATATATAATTATAGTATATACATTTAGCAAAACGCTGTTATTTTGACATTACAAACAGTCACTTCAATTTTATTTATCTGTATAGATTAATGTAATTTTTATATAATTTTACTGTTTCAGTGGGCTAGTGGCTAACATGTACGACAGCAGATCCGGACGCCCTGGGCTCGAGTTCTGGATCGGGGCAAGTTTAATTACTGAGTTTATTTTATTAAGATAATCTCAGTAGTAGCCCGGAGTTGGGAAATTGATAGCGTTTGCATTGAGGCAAAGCACGTGTCGCGTCTGTATCACCGCGAGTGTCGTGGCTAGTTTCGGTAGAAAACGGTCAGGAGGACATTATTATATTATTAAATAAAATCATTGTATTGAGAACACATAGGTATATTATAGGTAGAATTATTTAAAACCTAAAATATTTGCCGTCTATGTATGAGGTATGAGGTGTAATCTACAAAACGGTTGAAGCGATTGAAATGAAACGTTTTCCGAATTTTATTTTTGATAAAGATAGAACACTTACAATAACACCAACAATAAATAAAATCAATATTTTTTCAAAACTCTCGGAAGAACATTTGACATATTATGGGAAAATGGGGAATGGACGAATTTGAAAACAAAAAACTAATATAAAACACAACAGAGCCGCAATCTAAAGCTGGTAAATATATTTAAATATATCATTTCAAAAAGTAAAAAAAAAATTTAACAATTAATTTCATATTTAAAATGTTAAAGTTAAATATTTACCAGCAAACTTTAAAACTCTTGGCGTGTGACGGTGACGTTGCTTGGTCAAGTTGAGGAGTCTCTCTACACCACCGGCTTCTAGTAGGGAACGGGAAAACTCTGCACTCTTCTTGATTACTTCATTCAGAGTCGCCAGTACTGCGGCTATCGTGTCGTCTGATGTACCCTGTAAAGGTATCAAAGCCTTATGATTATTAAATATATTATATATTTATACCTCTATAATATTTATATATTTATATCTTGGTCAAGAAGCTAAACATGGCATTTTATGGTGAAGAACCATTTTGCGCTAAAGCAAAAAATATAATACAGGGCTATAAAGACTATCGTAAGTTTAATCTTGAAATGTTGTAATATTTAATTTTTTTAGATATCTAATAGGTAAACATGACAAGGTACAAACTTTAATTATAGTTAAAATATTGTACATCAATTAGTGATGAATTTATACATATCGAAATAGATTTGCTTTGCTTTGCATCGACTTCGAAAATATATGATTAGGTATCTATAGTAAATGAAAACCCCCGTGAAGTTATTTTTTACTTTTTAGTATATTTTTTTTGAAGTCCGTTTTTTTTAAATTACTTTTATTATTTGTTTATAATATGTCTACATAAGTCGGTAGTAAATAAATAAAGATCCTAGGTATACCTGGTCGTGCTGGTGGTTGCCGCTTGGCAGCTTCTGCACGAGGTCTCGCATGGCGTACTTGCCGATGAGCTCCTTGTTGCGCTGGTCGATGGCCAGGTTGCGCAGCGCCGTGGCCACCGCGCACACCACGCGGTCCACCTCCATGCGCAGCAGCTCCACCAAGATCGGCAGCCCTGGAGATCATGTACCCATATGATGTTAAGATAAACGTATTTAGAAAAAACAAAAAATATGTATCCCACGGAAACCATATTATTTTTCTTTATTTATTATTTATAATCTATCTCTGCGTCAAATTTCATCCAGATCCGGTCGGACGTTCTGACGTGATTGAGTAACAAATGGGAATATAATTATAATTAATAAATAAACAATAAATACTTTCGGACATTATATTTATAATATGTATGTACTTAAAATTATATAATATGTGTAATGTGTCAACTATCTGGTATCCATAACACAAGCCTCGTAGCTTACCATGGCACTAGATGGTGTTGTGTGTTAATAAATAAATAAATGAATAAATATGTTGGGACTTTAACACAGCACCATCTAGTTCCAAAGTAAGCTACGAGGCTTATGTTATGGATACCAGATAGTTGATACACTAAACGTATATTATTTTAAAAACATACATATTACAAAATATATAAACACCCGTGACTGGAGTACATACACTCGTGCTCATTGCACAAAAGAATGCCGCCAGCGGAACTCGAACCCGCGACCACTACAGACTGAGCCAAACGTGTCGTCAAATCATTACCTTTCTCTTTCCTAACAGCGGCTCGTATATCTATAGAGGGCTGCCAGTAACAGGCGGCGAGGTTCTGCAGCGCGCCCGCTGCCGCCTCCAACGTCTCCGGGTTCGAGCACGTCTGCAGCAGCGCCATGTACAGCGGCACCACCTGGTGACAATATATGTTCAACTTAGACTAAACAATAATATATACGGAGTCCGCCAATATAAAGTATAAGTTAAAAAGTAGCGTGATTTGCAGTTTATGCTACCATTTTCAATTTAGCTGAATATCTATCTGAAGAATAAGGGAAATTTTATATGTGTATTAGTTAATATATAATTTTTGGGAATAAAATATGAATAACAAGATTATTACTGTTTTTTTTTTAATTTTTAAAGATTACTTCTCGTCCCATTGAAAAAGAGATAACATAATATTAGCTTTTTTTAATTATAAAATCAATTAGCTACTTTTGTTTTTTAACATTTTATTAATTATAGCAGTTAGTATTCTATTAATTTTTAAATTTTTAAATCATTATTGTTTGGGTTCTTGTTTAATTCTATGACACTCTGCCTATATTAGTTCTGAGATACATTCATTAAATTAAAATACATTAGTATTAGTGCGCCTGTATATACCATGTTTTCAAAGCTAAAACGGCAATTCGATTGCAAAAGCGATTGCGTTTGGCACGAATCCGAAAGTAATAAAGACAGAAATAAATACATTTTGTCAACCTCAATTTTATAAACAACTAGCGACTCACCCTCGCTTCGCTACGGGTTCGAAAACAAACAAAAACAAATCTATCCCGCGGGAAACGCACATTTGTCCTGGATTATATATAGGCCTATAATAGCTGCCACAATAAACTACCTATCTAAAGCAAAAAGAAGTTTTCATATCGGATTAATAGTTCCCGAAATCAGCGCGTTCAACCAAACAAACAAGCCTCTTTATAATATTAGTATAGATATACCCTAATTCTTTATATAAAACACTATTCATTTAGAAGTGGCTGCACAATTATTTTTTTAATGTAAAAAATTAGTATTTATAAAAAAGACACGCTCTAGTTGCTTTTAAAAGATGAATCTTATAATTTTTCTTACCTCATTAAAAATAAAGGTCAAGTACATTTTATCTTTAAATATAGAAACTTCATACTTTATATACTGTAATACTTTTCACATCATTAAACTTCTTAATGCGAGTGTTCTATTCAATTTTCATTTAACAAATGACCATAACCTTGCAACCATCATAAAGAATCTCACACTAATATCTCCATAAATCATATAGCAAATTAAATAAAACTATAAACAATATATAATATATAAATAACTATTCGTATTTTTTCATGGATTTATTTTGATTTATGATTCCCGACTTTTCAAATGGGAGCGACATCGGCAAGATTTAAAAAGTACATAACTCAAACTATTTCATTTTGTATGTACATATATATAATGCAATGTAATCTTCGTTAATTGTGAACCGATTTTTATTATTGTATTTATTTTATAAATTTTAAGAAAAATTTACTCATAACAGTGAAATAGTTACTTTTAGAGTTATTTAAGTTTTTTGCTTATTTAGTAAATTAAGATATGTCTATATATATCATTATATAAAAAAATTGTACGCATTCCTACATTCGTGTATTCTTCTCCTCTTAAATACCGATTTTAATGACTTTTTTTTGTATACTTCTTTGTGTACTTTTGGGGTCTTCTAAATGTTTCTTTTAGCTATTGTCATCTTATATTTGATTTACATACATACGTTATATTGTCGAGATTCAGATAGTTTTTTAAATTTTCGGACCAAATCTGGTATGTGGCATGACAACATCTGCCTACTGGGTCGACTTGTAAAGTACATACATTAACATACATACATAATATGTACGTATATAATATTAAATATTTTACCTCAGGTGACCATAACATTTCAGTGCCTTTAGGCACACTGTAACCCAACTGTGAGTTAGTGTTGTTATCCAACTGCTGTGGTTCCGGATCACTCTTGCCTAAAGGACTGGTGGAGTTCGATGAAGACGAGCCTTCTTTCTTCTTTTTACTACCACCAAAACAACCAAGATTTTCACCTACAAAATAAATGTTACATTAAGAAAACTTATAAAGTTGTATAAGTATATATTATATATTTATTAATGTTGTTATAAGTATGTTGTGTTACTAAGAAAAATATATATTATGTTCGTATAAAATTTATAATATAATATTATAATCTTTATTAGTCTCAGGTCTAATAGGTCGAAGTACAGACCAAAAAATTAAATCTAGGAACCTTTATAAGTTTGAAGGGTATGTAAAAAAACTCTTACTCGTGAGATTTTTAAATCTAACATAATATGATCATACTTCACATGTGAGGTCACGGAGAAATGGCTAGTACATACATAATATACAAACATACCTTTCGACGCGCTTGCTTGTATCCTCGCTTGTCCGGACGACTGTGTGGGCGGGGCTCGAGTGTCGTATAGTGGGTCTTCAATTTCTTGACACCTAAATCAAAAACAACATTATCAAACTAGTTTGTTAAAAGGTTGTGTACTCGTATTTGATGTTTGTTGTGTATTGAATCCGTTATAACTGTTACTTTTTCGATTTTAATTCTCATTCACAGCATATTTTTATTCAATTTTATTATACTAAGAAATGAAGTGCAAAAGGATTTTGCTATAACTAAAAAATATCTAAAATTAATATAAAACTTCAAATTTTTCCTGCCATAGTACTGATTTATTTGTCCACAGTACTGACATTAATTATACTTGGTACACATTTTTTGGAAAAATTATTAAATTATATATATTAGAATTTATTAATTCATTAATTTAAATTATTTATTGTGACTGAAATAATAACCAATTAAAAAGTAAATCCTGAGGTGGGACATGACACAGTACTGACATATAAGTAAGACATTGCAGTTTTTTTTTTCGATAACAACTTAAATTGTACATAAATACTAATGAGTAGTGTGTAGTACAGGTAGACATCTATAGGACGTTGTGAACAAATACAGTTTTCCGCGATCTTCGTATCGATGTTCACAGGTGTCAGTACATGCCAGATATCAGTACACATCACCTGTAGGAGAGGTTGCGCAGCACGCAGACGCAGTTCTCTACGATCTTGGTGCCGATGGCGTTGGCGGCGAGCGCGGCGCGCACGGCGTGCAGCAGCGCCTCGGCCAGGCCCGGCAGCGAGCGCAGGCGGCGGCGCGCGTACTCGCCCGCCGACGACGCGTTGCGCAGCACGCCCGACGCGTTGCGGAATACTACACGCGAACACAGACAGACAAACATTGTTATTTGTTAACCCTTAACTCATTTTGGACAGCAGTGGCCAAGGGTGAAATTTTAGCAGAGGTAAACCGTTCCAAAAAAAACGTAGAAAAACATTGATATACAATTTTTATATACATACGTTTTAATGCAAAAAAAATTAAGCTATGATTATATACAGGGTGGATTTTTGAGACGGGACAACGTTTTCCTGTAATTATAGCATTAAGGTACCTGCCCTTACGCAGGTACCTTAATGCTATAGTTACAGGAAAACGTTCCTAGGAGTACATCCATAACTTTTTGAGATATTCTGAACTGCGTTCACAGATTTTGAAAAAAATGTACAGTTAGCGAAAAAATTAAAAAATGCTAAAATACAAAAAAAAATTATTTCGATCCTATTTCATGTAATGATCACTCACATGAATGATTCACTCTAAGTGCTAAATCTTTTTCTTTTCTTTTTTGAAAATGTCTATTACACAATAAAACTAAATGTAAATTTAAATATGTATAATAAACAAAAATATATTTATTAGTTACAAAAGAAATCAAGTTCGTGTGAAATAATAACGAAACCAATACATCCTTTATGCTAACTTAGAAAACTATTTTAGTCCGAATCGGGACTCGAACCTAAGACTAGCCAACAAGACAGATTACGATTAAATTACACCAATATATTAAAATTTTAATAAACTCAATCAATATTGACAGTACTATTACACAACAAGATAACAAACAAAATATTGCAGAAAAAATTAAAAAAATATTGAAACAATCAATAGCTTACTAGTGGACCAGTATGTATCGCCAGGGTTGGTGGGGTGCCAGCCGGAATGTGGTATGATCACTTTGTTCACTATAACTTGAGCTGCGTCGTCTATTATCGACTGCTTTAGGTCCTCACACGATGACATGTTCCAAATAACACCCGTCACCAGTTCTTTTACCTGTTCCATAATAATTGATTATATTTACTTAATATTAATTAATATGCTTTTATTTCTTCCACAAACCATCTAACGCAAGATTATATAGCTATTATATAGATTATATATATAGCCTTTTTAAAAATAGAAACGAAGAAAAATCTTTTTCAAATAAAATAAACCAAAAAAACAGCATGGACAAAGTGTCTGTTTTGTTTGGCACGGTAATTTAAAATTTCATTTTAAACACGTTTTAACTTTACTTAAATTTGAATGCGAACTTCAAACGTTAATTTTAATCTATTTCTAAATGCCATTTTTTAGAACGTTATAAATTGTGAACCAAGTAATTTCTCGGCTTTTCTGTGTTATGACATGCATGTATTATACATATAAACCTTCCTCTTGAATCACTCTATTAAAAAACCCGCCTCAAAATCCGTTGCGTAGTTTTAAAGATCTAAGCATACACAGACAGACAGCGGGAAGCGACTTTGTTTTATACTATGTAGTGATGAAACTCACCTCCATATCAGCGGTACGACATAATAGCGCCATGAGCGAGGGTATGCCGCCGGCGTCGCGTATGGCGCGCTTGTTCTCGTCGTTCTGCCGGCCGTATGAGAGGTTGCGCAGCGCGCCGCACGCGTTGCGGCACACCTCGGGGTTCTCGTGCGAGATCAGCCGCACCAGCGGGGGGATCCCACCTGATACACACACGTTTATTATCATTAACAAGAATTACTCATTTAATATTATAACATCTATACATACAGGTAAATAAAATTAGAAGTATCTGTTTGTAATGTCAAAATAACAGCCTTTTAATAAATGCATATGAAACTATATACGGTACTTATAAAAAAAACACAATTTTTAAATTTTTTGTCTGTTTGTTCCGGATAATCTCTGAAACGGCTGCACTGATTTTGACGGGACTTTCACTGGAAGATAGCTGATGTTATAGGGAGTAGCATAGGCTACCTTTATTTTAGAAAAAGAATTAGGGTTCCGCTAAAAAAATTAATCGTACCTAGGGACGAACCTGAGCGAAGCGAGGGTAAGTCGCTAGTATTCAATATAAATGATATTGAATTAAACTTTTTCGAATTCGAATTCAAATTTTAAATATATATTGTAAGAATTAATCAATCTAATTAATTTTCTTTTAGAAGCAGTATATAATTCGCATTAACACTACACACTGTTACAAAAAATGTGTGGTATAATTTTGTGTAGAACGACTATGTATTAAACATAAAATTGGCGAAACCCGAGAATGAATCGGGGACCTTTATGTTTTTTTAATAATAAAGAGATAATAATAAAGAGAGCTTATAACATCTGAACTAATACAGGCAAAAATTACTTGCTCAAAAGGAGACCTAAACCACAAACTTTGCCAACACTAAAATCTGTTTATGCAAAAAAAATATTTTTATATGAATATATCAAAATAAAAAAATCGTTAAAATCATTCTAAGTAATAAACATTCAACAACGACCATTACCTAAACTCCTTGTTTTCTGTTTATTCGGATCGTCCATATAGGTCAAGTGTTGTAAATACGCAGCCGCATTCGCTTTCACCACATCGGAGGGGGAGTTGAGGAAGCCGATCACTTCGGGCAGGTTGGGGTCCCGCCACTGCAGCCCCCCGCCGTCCTCGCGGCCCCCCACGCCCACCCCCACACCGCCGTGGACTGGGGAAAAAGTATTACTTATTACTATATATTGCCTTTGAGACATCTAATACCTTAGTGTCTTCCATGACGATGATTGCTGTAAAGCATTCAAAACGTCGGGAACCAAAAATCAAAACAAATTCGCGAAAAAATTCGAAAATATAGTTTTATTTAAAATGTCAAATATTCGCGTAAGTCTAAGAAAGTATTATTACTTATTAATTTAAATCTAACGTCATCAGTGATTATTCTAAACTTGCAAAGCTAGCATGCTTCCTCATACAAACTTTCACCCCCATTTACACCCTCTTAGCAAAGGAAATACAGATGACAATGCAAATTTTTTTATTTTATTATTTATCGCTTTTAGTGATATGGCCGCCTTTGCACATCTCTTTAATTGCATTTTTTAATGTACCATTTTCATGTGTAATGAAAATAAAGTGTTAGAAAAATTTCTTTTTTCGTTCTTAACTTTATATACCAGTCAATTCACCATTCTCAACAGCGTTGACTAGCGCAAGCATGATGAGTTGGAAATTCAAAATAGCACAAAAATTACGTTTATGAAACAGTGAAATACGGAATTAATAAGATTACTATTAATTTATTATTATTTAATATATATTTTATTTTTTATTTACTACGATTATTTTGAATATACAAGTTTACTGAAACATTACATTTTCCAAAAACTAAAGGTAAAAAGGTGTTGGATGATAATAATTTGTAAAATCTGTTAATCTAAGAATAAATTGACAACTTTGTATAAAAAATAAATGTTACAAGTAATATACCTAATGCCATATTCGCCATTTGTTTTTGCAATTCCTCTTCATCGCCATACATTGATTGACCGCCTGTGCTTCCTAAACTGAGGCCATTTTGTGAATCCTGCAAAACACAAGTACATGTTATTATGTAAATTAGCCTATATATTTTTATAACACTAAATACTGGTTTTTTTGTCGTCACATTTAGCACTTTTTCACGTTTGGATGTAAGTATTCCATTGAAATGAAACTACAAATAAATTATTAATTTAACCTATACGTGCTATAGAAATTGACATCGAAATGTATATATAGTTATTGTTTTTACATAATAAATCATGAAAATTTAGATCTGTGTTCTTTTAATTAAACTCAAAAAAACTACATGAATATTTTAAGGTAAACATAACGACACAGTTACGTAAGCACGTACACACTCATATATCGGTTTTCAGCATCAACGACTGCAAATCCAGAGCACCTGGGTTCGAATTCCCAGTCAAGCTATGATAGTGAATTAACAAAATTCGTCAACAAATACGGGGGAGTTAGGAAATGTGATTTTTCGAATTGTTATTCTGCTTAACACTAAACTGTTATTTACGTAGTCTTAGTTTGACGACACGTTTGACTCAGTTTGTAGTGACCCTACATGCCGTGTCGGCAGTCGCGGGTGCGAGTCCCGCTGAGGGCATTCATTTGTCTGATGATGTTTGCACTCCAGTCATGGGTATTTATATTTATAATATGTATGTATTTAAAGTTATATATGTGTAGTGTATCAACTATCTGGTATCCATAACACAGGCCTCGTAGCTTACCATGGAACTAGTTGGTGCTGTGTGTTAATGTCCCAACATATTTATTTATTTACCTTAAAAGCAGTCGGCTGGTGCGTCGGCTCGTACGCGGTGGGGTAGTGCTGGTACGCGTACGCGTCGCCCGCGTACTCGCCGCGCGGCGACGTCACGCAGTAGTGGCGGCCGAGCTGCTCGAGCGACGCCGAGTCGTACCTGACCAACGTGAGGACATTTTAAATTACTATTTAAAATGGTAATGTTTGTTTGTATATTGTGTATGTGTGCGTGTGTGTGTGCGTGTGCGTGTGCGTGTGTGCGTGCGTGCGTGCGTGCGTGCGTGCGTGCGTGCATGCGTGCGTGCGTGTGTGTGTATGTTTGTTACGCCTGAAACGGCTGGAAGAATTTGAATGAATTTAGTAAAAAGTTATAAACACATACAAGTATGTTACTATTCAGCACTTAGAGACGCTAATATTATTATCAAAGAATATTTTAAAACGACTCGTGGCTTCACTTGCGCGATTGGTGCAAGGGTAAATAGCGTTAATTGCTAATTCAAGCGAGATTAAGAGTGAAGGTAACATCACATCAATCATCTCCATTACGAATTTTCTTTCAAATCTAGTGAACCGTTACATCGTGAAAACGAACAAACACACTAACATACAAGTAGACAAAAATAGGTTTTATACATAAAAGCAACTAAAAGCAACTAAAAACTATAAAGGGAGTTATAAAAAAACTGCTATCTTACCTCTGTTGTAGATGTAGATTGTGTTGCGACGGCATGGCTCCGGGCGAGGTGCTTCGAGGTGACGCGCTACCTCCACCTTCCACATATTCCTGACAAATTGCATTTTATCAACATTACATATCTAATTTTTGGCATTTTTTTTACACAACATACCATTAAGCTACCTATTTATAATGGCTTTATTAGACAATAATATGTATAACTGGTCAATTAATTAATGTTTTCAAAAACTATATTTTATACTGTATACATATTAATATTCTTTAGACTTCATAATCTTAGCTTAATTCAAGTAATGACTGATTCTGCAAAAAAAACCTCATTCCTATTACACGAATGAAAATAAATGGCAAAAATTATAAAGGAAATAATATTATTATATTTCTCTGAGAATTTAGTGATCTAATTAAATTAAAGAGTTGCGTATCTTAAGTACTCATCACCAAAGCCATTGAAGTTTAAGAAACCTCAAGGGTTGAAATTTTAACGCCTTTTATCTACAAGGATATATGAAAGTAATCTTCATATTCATTATATTCATCAGTAAACTGTTACACTAGCAATAACACTACTCACCTGAGCCATATAAGCAGGCACCTGAGGCTCAACTAGGTAAGCAGGCTGCGCGGGGTAAGCCGCCCCGTAGTGCGCGTACGTGCCGTAGTGTCCTGCGCCGGTGCCCGCCACTCCACCCGCGTACCCACTGCCCACTGATACTGCCTCCATCACCTATAAATATAAAATTATTGGGACATTAACACACAGGACCATCTAGTTCCATGGCAAGATACGAGGCGTGCGTTAGGGATACCGAATAGTTGATAGACACTACATATATATATATATATATATATATATATATATATATATATATATATATATATATATATATATATATATATATATATGTATAACTTTAAATATATACATATTATAAAAAAACACCCCTGAGTGGAGTACAAGCATTCGTACTCATCGCACAAATTAATACCTCCAGCGGGACTCGTACCCGCGACCGCTGGCACAGCAAGCAGCGTCACTACAAACTGAGCCAAACGTGTCGTGAAACCGATGTTAGTTAGATTTATTTATTTGACATTCTAGAAGAACATAGGGTACAATAAAATTTAAAGGTGGTGAAATAGGAGATGAAAGTTTGTTTCTCATCATTTCTCAAATTCAAGTAGGCTCAGAGTAACAAAGTTTTGGCTTTTTTTACCTAGATACGAACACGATTGAAGCGAGGGTGCGTTATTGGTCATACAGTACATAGTACATATTATAAATTAAAATTCAGTTGTATTCGTCGGATAAATCACAGAAACAACTGAACGGATTCTCATATGGTTTTTACGAATAAAAAGATGGATGCATTATTATTTATGAAGTTTATAGACTATTATTTACTATTTATGATCATTTTTCTAAAATAACCTACAAGTGTCGCCAATAATTATATTTGTGAATTAAGTTAAAAAAATAAGTTATCTGTATGGATGCACTAGTAAGATAATAAAAAAATAAACAAACATACAAAAGGAAAACGTTAAAACTAATTTCTTTGTAGCCTAAGCTTCTGGAGACTGTATGTAGAGAAAATGTTTCCCGAGGTTTATGATTTCCTCTTCCGCTTTGACAGTGAATTGTATTCAGGATAATTATACTAAATGTAAATAAATATAAAAATATATGAAAAATAACTGGATATTTATTAAGAATTACGTATATGCAAATTAATACATCAACTTCGTAGTTTGTAGCCGTCAGATTACTTGAAGTCTATTGGTCTAATTACCAGATTAAAATAAAAGTTTCCAGAATTTATAGTAAATCTGTGCACTAATTTTTGGTTTTATATATATATCCTCTCTAGTACATCGAATAAAACGGGTTACATCTATACATATAATAAAATTCTAACTGAGTCGAATCTGTACATTACATATTTTTTGGAAAATCTTATTGAAATAGTCATTATTATTGGTACAGAGTCCGAATCTATAGTTTTTAGAATTTTTGTCTGTCTGTCTGTCCGTCTGTCTGTCTGTTACCGCATCACGGAAAAACCACTGGAGTGATTTTGATGAAATTTGGTATGATGATAGCTGGTTATCCGGGTCAACATATGGGATACTTTATACCGCGGCAAAATATTGCATTTCTGAGAAAAAATACAAAAACTGTAATGAAAGAGTATACTACTCGTAATATGTAAAACCTAAGAATTTGGTTTTTGGTCATCTGAACGCGGGCGGAGCCACGGGCAATGCTAGTATAACATAAATAAATACAATAATATTATTATACTTATTATATAAATGAAACTTGAATCTATAAATACTTATGTTCTATAATAACTTCTAAAATTCCTCCTTATTATAGAAAGGATATGATTTGTTACTCAATAAGGTTCCACCGATGGAACGTTTCGAGGATATTATGAAAGCACACTATATTTTAGATTACACATAGAGTCTTATATCAGACTTAATGGCTTGCCCAAGTGTAAATTCCAACAAACAGAGTATATTTCATTTATAAAGAATACATACATTTACCGAATACTAAGAAAATCGAGTAAAACACGTCAGCTGCAAAAAAGCTGATGTTTTTATATACATATACATTAAAACACTTTCAAGTTTACTTTAAGTTAACTCCAAAGCAGCTATAAAACGAAATTCGCAAATAAAATTTTTAAATGCACTGTCAGTAAAAAATAGTCCTATGCCATGCACTTAGTTTTTGTAACGTCAGTCTTATTCAGCACTTGTTTCGTTTTTTTTATTATCTTTATGATTCAGCGTGTATTTCAATTAAAAGTCTGTAAATAATACTTATAGACCAGGGTCGATAATTTTTAAAACCAAAAAAAATAATAGTAGGATGCAACCCATTAGAAAAGGAGGGGTATATTATAAAAGTGAAAGGAAAAATAATTTACGGGCGATCTGAGGTCGGGAAGGGGATGGGGGTGAGTTTTTAAGGGTAAAAAACGGTTTTTCTCGATTTCCGGCAAAACTAAAAGTCCTATCGAAAAAAGTCAAATAGCAAAGTTGTAGGTAATAAAAAGATCTAAAACTTTTGTATTTACACTTTACACTTTATTTACACTTTTTTCACATAACCTCAAAATTTATGTGAAAAATTAAAAAAACCAAGTTTTTGGTTTTTTATTTTTAACTTTTACAAAAAAAAAAATTTTTAACGAAATTTGGTGAAAACTTACCTTTTTATGTCCCAAATACGCTGTAATTTATTTGATTAAAAATATTTATTTTTTCACCTTATTTTGAATTAATATCGAAAAAGCACCCTAATTTTCAATCGAAAATTCACCCGTCAAAATATCAGCTTTTTTCAAAAAGTTGGTATGTTTTCTGTTCGTTGAAATCTCTACTTTCCGATGGTGAAAAAAAAATATATGTTACTATAGTAAATCTTCTGAGAAAATGCAAAAAACAAAAAACCTTTTTTATTTCATACACTTGCTTATCATCTGCCTTATTGCAGATGATACAAACAGATTCATCCATACTGATAATCTGAAAAGACAAAATCGAATTAATAATGCCTTCACTATTTTATCGTGAGTTACCCCCATGAAAAAAATAAATAAAGAAATAAATGTCAAAATGTATAAGAAATATATTATATTTTTTTTTTTTTTCATGGGGGTATACTCACGATAAAATAGTGAATTATTAATTCGATTTTGTCTTTTCAGATTATCAGTATGGATAAATCTGTTTGTATCATCTGCAATAAGGCAGATGATAAGCAAGTGTATGAAATAAAAAAGGTTTTTTGTTTTTTGCATTTTCTCAGAAGATTTACTATAGTAACATTTTTTTTCACCATCGGAAAGTAGAGATTTTAACGAACAGAAAACATACCAACTTTTTAAAAAAAGCTGATATTTTGACGGGAGAATTTTCGATTGAAAATTAGGGTACTTTTTCGATATTAATTCAAAATAAGGTGAAAAAATAAATATTTTTAATCAAATAAATTACAGCGTATTTGGGACATAAAAAGGTAAGTTTTCACCAAATTTCGTTAAACATTTTTTTTTGTAAAAGTTAAAAATAAAAAACCAAAAACTTGGTTTTTTGAATTTTACACATAAATTTTGAGGTTATGTGAAAAAAGTGTAAATACAAAAATTTTAGATCTTTTTATTACCTACAACTTTGCCATTTGACTTTTTTCGATAGGACTTTTAGTTTTGCCGGAAATCGAGAAAAACCGTTTTTTACCCTTAAAAACTAACCCCATCCCCTTCCCGACCTCAGATCGCCCGTAAATTATTTTTCCTTTCATTTTTATAATATACCCCTCCTTTTCTAATGGGTTGCATCCTACTATTGTTTTTTTTTTTCACTTTTTATTATTTTTAAAGGCTTTTTATTATTTTTAAAGGCTTCCACCCTGGTCTATTAATACTCTCTTAGATTTACGTGAATATTTGACATTTTAAATAAAAATATCTTTTGGGATTTTTTCGCGGATTAATTGGAGAATATACGGATATATATCGGCGGACACGGAGGAGTGGCCATGATTCCTGTAAAGCATTCGAAACGTCGGGAACCAAAATTCAAAATAAATCCGCGAAATAATCAAGAAGATAGTTTTATTTAAATAATATTTATTAGTAATAATATTGACAAATCATAAAATATAACTTTATTAGATAATATATCTACATATAATAAAATAGTATTAGTGTATGTTATATTTGATTACGTTTCTAACCCGCCCACACTACTAATACTTTGAAAGAACTTATGAGATTTCTTTTATTCTGCAAAACGAAAGTTTATTGACATAAATATATACCTTATTATATTCTTACAAGAATTTTTCCTTATATTTTCTACGTATAAAATAGCTTCTATGTAATATGTACATCGTAAATCTACATATATAAATAAAAATGAATGTTCGTATGTTTGTCCTGTATGGGTTGCTAAAACATTGTTCCGATTGCGATGAAACTCTAGTAGGTTAATTCTGAATACGTTTTTCTTTGGAAGTTTTCTTTTATGTGTTTCTAAACCATTGAAGCGTGGGTAAGTCGCTAGTTAAAAATAAAATAAAAAACCACATTATCTGTATGCTTACATGGGGATATTTTTGCGAGGGCGCCATCGTTAGGTGTCCCATATGGTTGTAGTGCGCTGCGGGGGAGGATACATATTGACCATAGTCTGGCTCAACACCACTACCCACCGGATAATCGCCAGCCTTAAAAAGGTAATAAATATTTTTTTTAATTATTTCACACTATAAAATAAATGTTAAATTGTTTAATAAAGAGGCTATGGGCCAACCTTGACCAATAGCAGGTTAGCGAACTTCCCACGAACTTCACACATGTTAGTTTTCTCACTATGTAATCTTTCACTATATATATATATATATATATATATATATATAAGACGGAGGAGGATTTAGTTACCTTTTTCTGTTATGAAACCTTATTATTGTTTAAAGTCACTATGTTCTTTAATTTAATTTTTATTGCTTATTTTGAATTAAGAGCAGAGATTTAGTCTCGAGCGGGGTCGAGACGCCATCACGACATTCTTTGGAGATACGTGGCTTAGTAACGTTGGTTGATCATAGAGAGTTATATTTGATATTGTAGTCGGAAGTCGATGATCGGTGACTGTGAACCCGCTAGCTCTAAATCATTAGAATTACCATTTCAAGTTTATAACATTGTGACTTCCCTGATTAAATTGTGTATTGAGCACTGAATACTTTATTATTTGAGCCCTGATAACGCCCACAAGATGAGTAACCACCAAAGATGATGTTCGTAGTATATGGATAACGCGACATATATATATAGGGGAAGGTGGGGGGACACCGGATAGTTAAGAAGAAGACACAATAAATAAATCACTATGTTATTTATAGAGATAATCAATATTATAAACGTTTAAGTATACCTTAGGCATAACTTTGGTATGAAAATGTTTGAGATCAATGTTAATAACTATAAAATAGAACAATTTTAATTAAAAATTATAAATCCGAATTCACCCCATACCTATGGGTCAAACCGGATAGGTATTTTATATTCTAGGGGTGAATACAGATATTAACAATAAAACTAAATATTCAAATTATTCGCAGTTTTTGCATACAAAAAATATTAATTCTTGCTCAGAACAAGCGATGCAACTTCGTGAGCACACTTAAGTCAAGCAGTGCATTGGTACCATTCATTTGAGGACTTAGTTTGACTGTACTTTTCTCCTCAAACCAAAGACTCCGAATCCTCCTGATAGTTTTTTATTCGTCTTTTAACCGATTCGAAAATATCTGATTAGGTATCTATGCTTAATGAAAACCATCGTTTAGATATTTTTTACATTTTAGTGCCTGGAAGTCGGTTTTTTAAGATTGTATTGTGGTACAGAGGTCAATCCAGTCTCGTCTATATAATAAATTTGCGTGGGATGTCTGACTCCGACCATTGCAACTTATCTGACTTTTTCACATATGTTCGTGGCATGTTGTCGCTCGCACTCTGTAAAAAATAAATAGTCATTAAAAAGAGGATTTAAAACAAACACCCACAATACCTACATATAAAATCGATCGGGGTGAAACCGGGTAGCCGAATTCACCCCGTCCGCTTGTACCCCACAAGTACCATGTTTGAAATTGTAATAACTAACAGGTTATGTTTACAATCACAGCAACAACCAATACCGTTTTAAAAGGTTAAATATGTATTACTTCTTAAAAAATACAACTGTATATGATAGCACACAGCTAAGTTTAATGATAACACTTTTAAAAAAATTAAATATTAGATAACTTACCCTTGTTTTTAAATTTCGCTATAAAGACTCACGCGCCGAGATGATACCGTCGCCGCGATTCGCAACCGCACTGAGTAAGCGTTCGCGCGTATTTCTCCACTAGCTAGAATGAGACAGCTGTACGTGGAGCAATGAAATAGGAACTATCTGTTTTCACCCCCTATCCGGTTTCCCCCCTCATTCCCCTATATATATATATATATATATATATATATATATATATAAACAATTAGTACTATAAGTATAAATAATCTTAATGAAAATAGGTTCGATTGCGAAAATCTAACAAGTGCGAGACCCGTGTTTTGAACACACTTCACTTGCCCTTCCAAGCGAGTACTTAAATCAATGGGATACCATCATCTCACTGCTTTTATAATATCCTTTCTATATAACTTATGTATAAATACCTGTATATATATTCATATCTGTATAAGTATGTACATATGTAGGTTTACCTGCATAGCTAGGTGGTGCTGGTGAGCGAGTGCTGCGGACAACTCCGCGTCCTCGGTGGAGGCGTCGGACCGCGACACGGGGCTGTGTTGCGGACCATACGCACCCTCGACCGGACCGTTACTGGAACAAAATCATAACAACCTTATTAATTTACTATTGATTTAGCTTAGCTTCACTCGGGCTCGTTCTTAGGTGTGTAAATTAGCTTATGTTTTACTTCAAGTCATAGTCCATCAGCGTACTAAATTTCATCCGAATCCTATCAGCCGTTTCGGCGTATAGTTTATTATTACATATACAAAAAGCCCGACTATTACCAAAAAAAAATAATTTTAACGTACTATCATCGATCAAAAAAGTACTAGATACACAATCAGCGACAAAAAATGTCCTCACCGAACGAACGCTCATTTGAACATTTGAGCGCGCTTTTAATATTTTTTGTGAAAACACACTTTAAGCACTTTAAGCATTTAAGGTTCAATTTACATTGTTGTATATTTATTTCAACTAAACTAATCAACTAAACTAATCACCTAAACACAATTGGTGACAGTTTTAAGAGAACTTTTGCATGGGATTGTGTATCTACTACTTTTTTGATCGTTGCCTACTATTATTATAAACCCGAAAGCTTGTGAGGATGGATGGATATTTATTTGTAACTCTTTCACGCAAAACGTACATATTTTGATAAAACTTAGTAACACTTAGTACTTAGTAGAGTAACACATAGGCTATAATTTTTAAAACTATAGTAATACACAATTGAACTAATATAGTTTTAGCTATGATGTGCGATACGATCCTTGTCATTATTCTCACATCATACACAGTTTACGTATTGGTAATTATATAAACGATCCTCTCCATTGGGTCGTAGCGTTCCGTTGTATAGGCTCCTTTCTTAATAAATGGGCTATGTATACAAAAACTTTTTTTAAACCACCCCTTCATGAAACTTAATAATATTGTATAGATTAAGTCACTCTTCAGATTAAAGTTACTTTCATTTCTGAATGGAATATTTTTTCAGTAAAATTGTTTTTAATGAAACATGGGAGTATCTCTTAATTGGTTGGGAATTCTGTGAAACAATTCAATCTTTATTTTTGTACTGACCTATTTTTTATATTCTTAACATTTATTACTATATAAAACTAATTAAGTTATTATCATATATATTTACAGTAAAATATCTTTAGTACGCGCACAAAATATACAATTAAAGGATCAATTTACCTAGCCAGAGCAAAAATTATTCTCAGTTCGTCAAACATTTACTCGACTAATAACTGTCTGTACAGAGGATACAATAGCATCGCAGTGGCTGTAAGCCGGTCGATTAAAATCAATTTACATCACGCTTCGAAATGAGTCAATTAGGTGGCCTCGAGTTAGTAGGGAGAGTAGCCGTCCAAAATGCAAAATTGTACTAATATACTATTAAGCTACAGAGTTTGTTGGTTGGAAAGCACTAATCTTTAGAACTATCTATATAAAAAATGTAAAGTAAACTTCTTTGGCACTGTGGCAGATACCGTAATTAAATTAAAATCAGCGTTACCAATGCCAATTTATCAAATTGTCTAATTTGGTGACAAAATCTATACATATAATAAAATTAACTAATCCGAATCTGCACATTAAATATTTTTTGGAAAATCTTATTGAAATAGACATTATTATCGATACAGAGGCCGAATCTATAGTTTTTAGAATTTTTGTCTGTCTGTCTGTTTGTCTGTCTATCTGTCTGTTACCGCATAACAGAAAACCCACTAGAGGGATTTTGATAAATTTGGTATAATAATAGCTGGTTATCCGGGTCAATATATAGGATACTTTTTACCGCGGGAAAATGTCTCATTTCTGAGAAAAAAATACAAAAACTGCAATGTAAGAGTATACTAACTATGTAAAACCTAACAATTTGGTTTATGGTCATCTGAACGCGAGCGGAGCCGCAGGCAATGCTAGTATACTTATAAAATTTCAACTATTTAAATATTTTTTTTTCTGTTATATTTTTTTTATTTTTTTCACACTTTTTCTATATTTTTGTAACAAGTTAGTAAGCTCGCAAGCGCGATGGGTTAAACTTGACACTGCCGTCCAATTTTTATCCCTTCCCTTATGGCCATTAAAGATACTACAGTATATGTATTTCGACGATTAATTATGTATGTACATAAAATAAATGTAAAAGCATTATAAGATACACAAGAGTATTATATCATTGGTGACAGAATAAAGATGCCAAAATTAAGCCGAAAATAAATGTGGTTGAATGAAGATTATTAAAATATAAAAAATCGGTCAATACCCATAAATAACCTAAAAATGGTAAAATAAATATTTGGAGTTCTTAAAGAAGTGTTCCAATTATTATAATAAAATTATTATAATAAATATTCATTTTTATAAATAATAATTATTATAAAATTATTAATAATTAATATATATTATTATGAATAATAATTAATTTAAAAATATAAATATAATATTCTTTTTTAAATTACTAATAATAAATTTGACCTCCGCGACACTCATTTTTTCCATTGTATTGACTTACTCTTCAGTCACGCTTAAAGAAGTTTTACTTCAAAAATAGTATGTAGTAAGTATGTACAATTTACAGGATTAATGACCTATATGGCCTATGAAGGCAGCTTAGTAATAACGCGCTTGCTTGGGAAACCAAGAGAAGCTGGTATAAAACATTTTCAACATGATTACCGCTTGTCTTACAATGAAGGTTAATCATGAGAAAACCTGACACCGACCGAAAAACATATCACGTACGCCAACCGGCACTTGACCAGCGTGGTGGACTATGGCTTGATCTCTTTCGCGTTGAGAGGAGGTCCGTACACAACAGTTTGGATGTTTAAAGGAGCTGAACATATAGATAGGTATACATGGTCTATTATAAGCTTTAACGCCACGCTACTACCGTTAAGTACGTAACAATTACCTATGCTGTAGTAGGTTGTGCCAAAAAAAACTTTTTTTTCTTTAGTTACCATGAAAATATCGTCCAAGACGACGAAAAAAAATTTCTGATAAAGTTTGAGCACTTAATATTAATATTAAGAGGTGGCTCATCGTGATTTCTGATTTTCCATTTAAATAATACGTATTTTTTTTCTTTTTTTCTTTGGAATTTTAATGCGCTCAAACGAATTATTGTCCAGTCATATTAAAAACACATACTTTTAGGGAATTAAACAAAATAGATCTGTTATGATTATGACACCTTACTGTAGCTACAAAAAATATAAAGCCCTCGTTTATGAAGATTTGTAAAACAAAATTGGTATGAAAGTACTAAAATTATTCATGAATCAATTTGTCACGGTCCGTATATTAATCAATTCAGGTGACGCGCGCCATTTACCCACCGTAAAATTTTAAACGTGTACGTAATAAAAATGAACATGTTAAAATAATATAAGATATATAATAAGAAGATATTTTGTATAGAGAAAATAAACTTTTTCAAATCTACACTTATATTATAAAGAGGAAAGATTTGTAGATTTGTATGTTTGTAACGAATAAACTCAAAAACGACTGGACCGATTTAGATGAAATTTGGTAAGAAGATAGTTTGAGACCCTGAGAAGGACATAGGATATTTTTTATTCCGGAAATCATCACTTAAGGACGTGAAAATGGAGATGAAAGTTTGTATGGGGAATCAACCTAAGGATAAACCCGAGCGGAGGGTGGCTTGCTTTGTTTGTGTTTAAATATAAATTTAAGTGTAAAAAGTATATTTGACGTATATGAAAACTTAACCATTACTCACAATTAAATGATGATAGATACTTACGATTACATATTATCCATATTTGCCAATATTACATATATGCCAACAAGCATGCATAATTAAAATGGTTCATAAAATCTAAAATTATCAAAGTCTACAGATAGATATTGCTATCAGCTCTTTTCTTTAAAATAAGTTACCTAACAGAAACCCGTACTGTATGTACATATGTTATGTAATATGTATGTATGTATGCATAATATTATTTATCTATATACGTAATGAATACATTTTTTTAGTCAAAACAAAAATTACTTTTTTTGACTAACTTTTCTAATTTTAGGGAAATCTATATATATATAAAAGAAATTCGTGTTAGTTACACTATTTATAATTCAAGAACGGCTGAACCGATTTGGCTGAAACTTGGTGGGGAGGTAGCTTAGAACCAGGAGACGGACATAGGATTTATTTTTAGCCCGTTCGACTGCGTTCCCGTATACAAGACTCAAGAACGGCTGGACCAATTTTTATGATATTTGAATTTTTGGATTTCTCTCATTCCGGAATAGGTTAATACCTAAGTATTAAAACGTCAGAAAAATTAACGAAAAAAAATATTTATATGGCTAATAACACTGGCTAATAACTATTTATATCTATTTAAAACGTACCTAGCGACGAACCCGAGCGAAGCGAGGGTGAGCCGCTAGTGACTTTATATTATAATCAGTGCAACAATATACTCGACGGAACAACTGTAAGTCTTAGCTCTATAACGATAAGGACGTTATCAATAAAATGTCAAAATAGCCACTTGGCTATAGCAGATAACTTTATCTGTAGATAACAAAGTTTACTTAATTATTTTATTGGAAAATGATAAATCAATCAATATCAAATTGTGCACCTACAAAAATCCTTATTTAAAACAATAATGACATATAGATTGTGCATTTACACACATATGAGGGTATGAAGATGTGAATCTGGGTGATTTTAAAATCGATATATCGGGAATGCATTTTAGACACATACAAAACGTTTTTAAATTTCCACAGCTCATAAAAGTCATAGTCATTTGGATACAGGCCGTATGCTTCGCTTTTACCGACCATTCTATATCCGGTGGATGTTTCTTTTTCTATTCCGATATTTACTTGAACTTTCTATAACAGGTGTTCGATGTATCATAGAAAATTAAATGAATATCGACTTTAAGTCATTTTTAAACTTACTAACTTAACATGAAATAAGCTACGTTTATGTGGCTTCGCTTTACAATTACAATCTTATTTTTGGTTAGCCACATGAATATGAAATTTGAAGTATGGGAATATTTTAT